GCCCCGCCCCCTCCACCACCCTCACTTCCGGCCTCTCTCTTCCCCCCCCGCCTCCACGCCGAGGTCTTATATGACCTCGTCTACGTCACCGCCGGGCATGCGCCATTTCCGCCCGCAGAACGTGCGGTAGATGTGGCGTCACGTGATGTGAGGTCCGTCCTTCTATACGCGCGGCGCCGCTGGGTCCTTCCTCTAGTTGCTCTGTTCGCGGGTTAGTGTTGCTGCCTCTCCTTCCTTCTCACACAGCTCGGCTCTGCCTTGCAGACAGCGAGTAGGAGCTGCGTTCCCTCTAGTGGACACTGCGGAGGCCACATCTGGAGTACAGCTTTGGCTGTTCCCCCTCCCCCCCACTACAGAAAGGATGTGGACAAATTGGAGAAAATCCAGTGAAGGGCAAGGAAAATGGTTTGGAGGGCTAGGGCATATGGCTTGTGAGGAGAGGCTGAGGGAACTGGGCTGATTTAGTTTGGAGAAGAGCCTGCATTTCCCCTGCTGCAGCCTGAGACGGTCACTCGTAGTCCTGCCCCCTAGAGCCACAGAGAAAAACCTGTCTCCATTCTCCTTATAATCACCAGTGATCCTGGTTTTCTCTGATAAAAAAATTGCAAATTCTCTGATTCAAAATCACAAACTCTCTGGTAAACACCCCCAAATCCAGAATTAAAATAAAATGCTGCATATATATACATAGGTATATATACATATGTATCAACTGAACACAATGTTTTATTGATATATTTAAAATTTTAACGCAATTTGGAAGCCTGCTAGTGCCTCAGTCACTGTAAGAAAATAAATCCTCAATCACTTCTATGCACCTATAAATTTTGATGTTTGATTTTGGGTTTTTATCATGGAAAATCAGAGCTCCCCCTGCCCCCTTTACTCACCAGGATGCAGGTCCATGCCCATCACTCCCAAGCCACAGCCTGCCAGCGCCCCTTACTCCCCATCCACAGCCCCTTGCCCCACTCCAGCCATGCCAGAGGGGGCCCTAGCTGCCAGGACTACAGGACCAGGGACTGATCCACAGCCCAATGCCCCCCACAGCAGTGCCCAAGCCTCAGCTGCCGCCTGTGGGAGGAGGTGGCAGCTGCTGTGGCAGAGCAAAGCATGGAGCACAGCTCTCCTGCAGGCAGCCTGGCTGGCTGGAGCAGAGCCTGGCAGGGGGCAGGCGGGCTCACCCACTGTAGGCTCAGGTGGGAGGAGCCAGCTCCCCACGACAGCACACTCCTGGGGATACATGGGAGGCATGTGCCCCCAGATCTGTATGTGGGACAGGAGTGGGTCTGGGCTGCTTGCTGCACGCTTGTGGCTCCCTGCCCTGCTTCCCTGTCCCCAGGGCCTCCATGGCCCAGCAGGCAGGACCCAGCACAGCAGGGCAGAGCGGGGCCTAGCAGGGAAGCCCCTTGCCACTTTGAGCCCTGCACTGCCTTGGCAAGGTGCCCCCTGCCCACCCAGCAGCAACAAGGGGCACAACCCTGTGCTGCTACACCTGCTGCTGCCAGGTTGGCTGGCAGGGGGCGCCTCAGCAGGGCAGTGGAGGTCTTGCAGCAACAAAGAGCTTCCCTGCCCAGCCCCGATCTGTCCTGCCACGCCAGGTCCTGCTCGCTGGACTGTGAAGGCTCCAGGGGGAGGGTAGCAGGGTGGGGAGCCCGAGACTGCACTGGGCAGCCCACCCTTGCCCTGTAGTTTATAATGAGCGATGAAGTCAAACCGACTCCCTTACTGCTGCCTGAATAGACATACTCCTGCCACTGCCAGGCAATTGACTTTCAAGTATGGGCAAGAATCAAAGAGGTCTTCAACTGCATCACTGCCACCTCCCCTTACCCCCCAGATTCACCCCTGGGACTTCTTCCTTGAGTTGGGACATCAATTAAAAAATAATGTGCTAGCAGCAATTACTGATTATCAGATTAAATGGCCATCAATACCTACACTTCTGGTTGTGGACTTCTACAAAAGTGTATGAGTGCCTGCTGGGAGGAAATCAGTGCCTTGAGTGCAGGGAAGAAGGAATCAGGGCTCCTACTCTTTCTCAGGTTGCAGGGGAACATCCTGAATCCAGCCCTGGAGCAGGATGCCAAGAGAAGAATGCAGCCAGTGGGTGTCAGAGCTGCCCAACTAGCTGCCAATGCCCCAAAAGCCATTCTGGTTCCAGAAAGTGCTTACAGGTTCCAGACTGTACAGTGTACTATTCCTAAGTAGGCTGTATTTGTGATACATGGTGCACTCCACCCTCCTCTTCCTGTATTTCAGCACTGGCTTTGAAACTTTTGATTGCTCCTTTTCAGCTGCTTTTCCTTAGCTTTTTAAGCATTTTCTCTCTTGGTTCAACCTTTCTATCCATTGTTTTAACATTTCTTTCAACAGCACTTCCTGGTGTCTCATGCACCTATCATCTGCCCTGGCTTCTGTTATAGCTTAGGTCCCTGTACAGCAGCAACAGTCTTTGGGTTGTAGTGGACATCCACGTTTGCTTATTTTTAGAGGCAAAGATTTTTGTGATATCTTTTATTGGATCAACTGTATCACTGGGAGAGCTGCTGGACAAGCTTTCAGGCATGAGGCATATCTGTCCAACAGCTCTTTCATCTACACAGCTGGTCCGATAGAAGTTATCACAAATAAGCCTTGCCTCTTAACATTTCCTAGACCACCACGGTTACAACAACACACCAACTTTCTTTAGTTTATACTCTTTTTGGTTAAAAATGCTCTTTATGCTGTGGACTACTTTTGGGAATGAGTGCAGGAAAATAATCTTTTCATAGATGTGATAAGAGACTAAAGATCATCCTTATGTATAAACACTGATTTCTCAGGGCCTTGTGTTTTTGGAAAGCTCTTTACCTTGGGTCCTAGTTTTTTCTTCTTGTGCATCACAATGGTGTGACATGGCATCCCCTATTGTTTCTACTTTGGGAATGGTAGGGAAACTGATGGGGAAATATACCATCAGGTTCTGTGGTGCAGACACCTCACTAATGAATGACTTTGGGACCTGTCAACATGCCCAGATAGTGCCCACAGGATGAGTTTAATAAAATAAGAATGAATCCAGTGTGCCTTACAACTCCTCTCATTGCAGCAGAGTGATACAAGTAAAACTTGATGCTGTGAATAGGTACAACTCTGTGCTGCCAATATATGGTTTAAGAAAGCCATTTCCTGAATTGTAACCCATCCCCATGAAATTTGCATATCTGCTCATGAAGTTCTCAAAATAAAGAACCAGATGCAAAATAAACTGTATCCAAATAATAATTCCACTCATGGACAATGCAGCTGTTCAGCCTTAGAGTTTCTAAGCAGCCTGATTTCCTGTTATGACCTGGTATAAAAAGGTAGGGAAATATTTTTATTCCTAAAAGCCTGATCCAACCTTTTGCTGGGCTAATTACCTTTAAACATTCCACAAAATAAAGACACTTCCTTGCAAATACCACAGACTGAGAAACTGGTTTGTTTTAGCTATGGTTCCACTGACATTTTTCAAAGATAATCTCACAATCATGTTTATATTTTTCAACTGGATTTAGAGATGATTAAATTTAAAAAATAGTTTTAAATTAAAATTTAAAACTCCTTCTTTTCAGGAAAATTGACAACCATTTTTTAAAAGAAACCCAGCTTTTTAGTTGGAAGGTACATCTAGAGTTTGGTTAGAAAGGGACTTGGTCATGAAATACTTTCCTGGAATTTTTGTTTTGCAAGTTTTTGAACCAGATCTACTTGTAATGCTATACCCTGCTTGTACAAACAACATGTGCATGTGCTTATCTTTTAGCATGTGGACACATTTATAAGTGTTTACAGAATTGGAGGCTTACATTTACAAGTCCTCTGTAGCGGTCAGTTTTCAGAGTAAAAAGACTATAAAGAACTTGAACATTTTTATTTTTTTCAATAAAGTAATATTTAATATTCTTCCCCATTTCATATAGCAGCCTTTGTATATTAACTTGCTCCAACAAGACCTCCAACAAAACTTTTCTTACGTGAAAACCATCTTAATATCCATGGACAACACAGCCCAGGATTGGAATAACATGGGCACTGCAAGCCAAGTTTTAGATAGAGTTTGCAGAATCTGCCTGTATTTTTTCTGGCTCCTGCCTTGATTTACTGGGCACCAACACTCAAGTCAAACCTGTATTTTGAAAATGATGTAGCAAACTGTAAACAGAAAACAGACTAGCTGGGGTGGCAGTTGGCAGGAGACAGCATGATCTACTAGGCTGAGTCAGTGATTTAAAATGTAGAAATCCAGGAGTGCAAAACCAGTGATTTAAATTTCAGAACAATATCAACCCTACATTGACACAAATCCCAGAAAATAACACCTCTACATTGACACAAACTGGGGACAGAAATACTGAAAGTACTAAGTAGAAAATTAAATAGCCACAGGGAGATATTTTAAACCAGGTCTTTCCTTTTTATTTATTCTTATGGCATTTTGGCAGCTTCATGCTTTCAACAGAGTGAGGTTAGGATCTCCAGTGAAAGGGACTGATTCAAGCAAGGTATGTCTGGTCTACAAAAAGTGAACTATGTAACTTTCTCTAGCCTCAGTTCTTGTGGCCAGTCTGGGTCAAAGAGTTCTGTACGTATTCTATCTCAAGGGGAGCCAACCCATGG